ATATATATATATAAAGAGATATATCTAGTTAACATTTAGTGAGCAAAAGGAAACAAAGTTTTACCCAAACCCAGAAAAAGAAGCCTATCTCAAAAGCATTTTGAAACAAGATGAAGTGAATCAAGTAAATGATGATCATAGGGTTATTGAACCAAAAATGGTCGTCTGAAGGTTTCACTGCATCCGCGCCTTTCTCAACAACATCCCTTGCCAAGATTGTAATGATGTGTTCTAGATGAGCACCGACAAGGAGTAGAAGCTATAATGTTTATGACAAAACCAGATTCGTAATTAAGTTACTATGATTCCATCTATATTTCATTTGAAATAAATGATAAATTTTCATACCCAAACTTACAATAATGGGCAAAAATGACAACCAAAAGTATGTGTGCCAACCTGCATTTTGTATACAGTTTCATTAGGTTAAAATGGCAAATTTTTTGTTAGGTTTTGATATATACGATTTTATATTATTCTTCTAAAAAAATGTAATGTCACATATCAAAGGATATAATTTTTTTTTTAAGTTCAATCTAAATTAATATCTTAGTTCTTAGATAATCATGACATTAGACTATCTTCAATGCAAAATAACTATTTTCCGCACAGTATTGATATAAAAGATGATATAAATTCATCTCCAACCTATTATGTTATATACTTAATTAATAGTCTTTGCAAAATACTTCGTTGTTGTTGTGTACACTTTCAGTCCTTATGAACAGTTTTCTTTAGGTTTTGCTCACATGACATCCTACGTAGTACAATCATAAATAAAGTGTTCTCATACGTGGGTCGTCCCTCACTTATATTAATAACCTAATTCAAGAATCGGTCAAATAGTGTTGGTGCCTTGCTTTTCTCTAAGAAGAAAATGTTTTTGAATTCAATTTCATCTATCTCCATAGCAGACAACAATATTCTTTGTGATTGCTTTCTTCCGACTCGGATTTGCACTTTCAAGAAAAAATAACACATTGGAAAAATGTTTAGAATTTTTCATAATTCATTGGTATGTCGATTTTAACCATTTTTAAGCAAAATGGGTTTTTTATAAAGAACATGTCAAATTGACCCCAAATTTTGAAGGTGAGCCTGCAACTATTAAAGAGGAGGTTTTCTAATCACCTTGAATCTTAGAATACTAAAACCCTAAAACGATTAGGACTCTCATATTAATAGTAATACTAATAATTGTTGTGGCTGTTGACACTATTTCCAACAACTGATATCGTTATGGTTAATGTATTTTCTTCACCTGATGTAATGTAGTTTATATTGTTATTGAATGAAGTTTATCTTGGTATTAAATATAGTTAGTATTGTACTATAATAGTTACTAATATAAAAAATACAATGTCATTACCAAAACCAAAACAAGTAATACATTATTCCACACAGACGAGCATGTATGATAACGCCTTATTATAGATTGTCCCATGTAGGTTGCTACGTGAGAACTTAACATGTAATAGTCTATCATAAGAACTGAATGTGTATAAAAAAAATAAGTTCAAGAGTTTATTTTAGACAAAAAAATAATAAGGACTAAAAGTGTATAAATGAAAACTTTGTTATCCTTTTATGTCGT